CACCGCTGCAATGGAAAGCTTCAGTTACCATGGAAGGGATACAGTCAGGCCAGAGAGAGAATTGGTTTTCAAACACAATGAACAAAACTTCAAAAATGGCAGAGAAGGCATCGTTCTCTGTCTAAACCTGAGCCCCAAACAAATCCTCCCTGACTGAATGTGCTGCTTCTGGCATGACCCGGACACTGTCCCTGATGTGCCTTTCACACGTCTGTGAGGCAGCACTGTCTGTAACAGTGTGTGTCAGGTGCAGGGACTTTTCCAGCTGTCTCATGACTCTTAGGCAACCTTGCCTTTCCTGGGACTTCAGCTGGGCTGGCTATAGTCCTTTCAGATTTAGCTTTGGGAAGCTGCCTTCTGCAGGACTTAGTTGGTGGGAACGGCCTGGACTTAGGAAGGGCAACTGCTGTAGTTGGCCCTGAATGGACCCTGGACTTTGGAGCTTCCTGATGACACAGTTGCTTACCCTCTTGTTATCAATGTGAAAACCTCATCAAGTGATACATTTCCAACCTCCTGACTGTCCTGTGACTGATTTGATGCTATTAGGCAAAGCTCAGGTCAGAAGGATTGTCATAAATTTGCTGACTGGACTCTATCTCAGGAAAAGTTTAGCATGTCCTGGCAACTTTTAGGCTCACACCACTAGCTCTGAGAGGTGAAGGGTTTTATGTAGAATGGTAACCTACTTAAAATTGACTTATAAACAGAGGTATGCATAGCAGACTCATCCCTGGTCTTACAGAGAGAATGTCAAATGGCTGAACCATGTGCTTTCTCAAAGTCAGTGACAGCAGGGATGAGGAAGGGGTCGGTGATGTGAGAGAGAGCCGGGACAAAGGCCAAATCAATACCAAATGAGTTGTCATTCTCCCTACGGTTTTCACACACACCCAAGCATTTCACTCGGGAGACACCAGAGCAAAAGGAAGATAAATGTTACATGTAGTTTGTTCTGATATAACTGTCACTAGCACATGGCGCACACTCTCTGTGAGAACACTTCTGTTTCATTAATCACGCTCTTTTGAAAATGTGACTAAATGTAAGTGAGGTCAATTTCCAGTACTACTTTTGCTTTGAGGATTTAACCATATTTGGGAGATGCTAATATTTCTTTATTGGCCATGAGAAAGATTATTATAGTATGCAATGTAGTAAAATATTTGTCTTATGTAAAGAGAGAAATACTCAATCATTTTTATTTACATTCCTGAGCAACCCGGGTCAGTCTGCCCTAAGGAGTTTTATTTTCTAAAGAATAAGTCTATGAAATGACTTCATCATAGATTCAAGTAACAGCATGAAACAAACACTGCCTTGGGAGTTTTGCTATGTGTAGTCCCCTTAATTTTCTAGAATAAGAGAAAAGACAGTTGCTGTGAATAATTTTGAATAAAACTCGGATTTGTTATTTAATTTTAAAGACCCCCCCAGAGTTTGAGATAATCAAAACAAACTTATTTTCTGCTCATATTAAGTTAAAAATAACAAAATTAATCTACTAGTGATAGACTTTTAAATGTAAATTTAAAACAAAAAATATATCTTTAAAAGACTGATTTTCTTCTTGTCATAAAAGACAAGGAATTTATGTTTGTATACTGCATTTATAACAATGAAATAGAAATGCAATAAATTACAATGAACAATAGAAGGTTAAATTATGTTTTAAATGTAGGAAAATGTAGGAAAAGTAAGTATATTTTTATTTTTTATTTTTTTAAAAGGAACAAATAGGGTAGAAATTAGAGTGGCCAGCAGGGGGCTTCTTTTTGGTTTCTTTCCCTTTCCTGTAAATTAAAAGCTAACTTAAAAATATAGTTTACTCTTTAGTTTTATAAATAAGGGATAAAGATAAAACCAGGGCTGCTAGATTTTCATTGCTCCCACTAGTTTAAACATAACATTTTTTTCTCTTTAGTTAATTTCTCTCTCTATCACTATTTTTTCTCAAGACCTATAATGTGATCCCTGCAGTCCAGATTGGCCAGTGCTGCCTCTGCCCCCGTCCTCAACCAAAGTTCTATCTTTGCAAACCTTCCAGAAAGGATTTTAATGATGAACTCCCCACCAAACAGAAATTAGAAGTAAATTAGGAGAAAGGAACCTATTCCATTTTGATGATTTAAATGGTACTGTAGTTATAAAAACCTAGTTGCACTCTGAACCTCTTTTTGGGAGAGACTTTCTGAAATCATGCACTTGAGTAGTAGCATGAAAGGCAGTGAATGGCCATGTAACATGATGTTTTAAAAGAGTTCTGTGTTTTCTGAAGAACTTGAGAGTTTGTAAAAGACCTCCAGAATTAGTAAGCAGATTCTGACTCATTTTGTAATATAGCTACAATTCATCTTTCCATCCTTTCTAACATAAGAAATGCAAGTAAGAACCATACTTTTTACTTCCTTTTTGTGCTCATTTTATAAAGGTAGATAGAGCAGAGCAATTCACCAGAGAGTGAATTAAAGGCAAAATTGTGATAACACATTATCCAAGTGAAATCTCAAGAGAAATGGAAACTGACATCATGTAACTTTTTCAAATAAGAATTAGGTCCTGGCAGAAAAGAAAAGTGATATATCTATAACAATTGTTGAAGTTCCAAGTAAATAAAAAGTCAGGAATCCCAAGGTCAATATGTAAGACAAAAAATTATGTTAGGATTTTGTTTTAACATTGATATGGTTTGGCTGTGTCTCCATTCAAATCTCAACACTAGCCCGTGAAAGCAGCTGGGAGGAGGGCTGTACCATGAAAGGCTACAGGGACAGAGCTGCCCACACCATGGGAACCCACCTCTTGCATCAGCATGACCTGAATGTGAGATCTGGAGTCAAAGGAGGTCATTTTGGAGCTTTAAAATTTGACTGCCCCACCGGATTTCGGACTTGTATGGTCCTTGAACTCCTTTGTTCTGGCCAATTTCTCCCATTTCGAATGACTGTATTTACTCAATGCCTGTACCCCATCGTATTTAGGAAGTAACTAGCTTGCTTTTGATTTTACAGGCTCATAGGTGGAAGGGACTTGCTTGTCTCAGATGAGACTTTGGACTGTGGACTTTTGGATTAATGCTGAGAAGAGTTAAGACTGAGGGACTGTTAGGAAGATATGATTGGTTTTGAAACGTGAGGACACGAGATTTGGAGAGGCTGGGGCAGAAAGATATAGTTTGGCTGTGTCTTCAATCAAATCTTAACTTGAATTGTATCTCCCAGAATTCCCACGTGTTGTGGGAGGGACCCAGGGGAAGGTAATTGAATCATGGGAGCCATTCTTTCCCATGCTATTCTTATGATAGTTATTAAGCTCACGAGATCTGATGGGTTTATTCAGGGGTTTACACTTTTGCTTCCTCCTCATTTTCTCTTGCCGCCACCACATAATAAGAAGTGCCTTTCACCTCCCGCCATGATTCTGAGGCCTCCCCAGCCATGTGGAACTTTAAGTCCAATTAAACCTCTTCTTCTTCCTAGTCTCAGGTATATCTTTATCAGCAGTGTGAAAACGGATGAATACAAACACGGAGAGAATGAAACTTTGATTGTTGGAATAATACAAACAGTGTAGCACATTCTGGCTTAGGTTCATGTTTCCTGAACTGGAACAAATGGCAGTGGGAAATGCATTACTGAAACCACAGGATGAGCCTGCAGCTTCTTCCTCTTGTGTCAGTCTGCATGCAGCTGGGGATAAAAAGAGATTGGTAACTTAACTGACAAGAAATTCCCAATGCCTTTTTGATGTTTTAATAAGGTCATGTTATGACCTTGAATATAAAATGATTTTTGTTGTGATCTAATGTTTATGTTCTCCCATATGTTGAAATCCTCACCTCCAATGTGATTAGAAGTTGGGGCCTTTGGGAAATGATTAGGTCTTGGGGAGGAACCCTCACAAATGGGATTAGAGTTCTTACAGAAGACACCAGAGAAAGATGCTTTTCCCCATCCACAATGTGATTACACAGCAAGCAGATGTCGTCAATGAGCCAGAAAGTGGGCCTATACTAGACACCAGATCTGCCAGTGCCTTGATCTTGGATTGTCTAGCCTTCAGAACTATGAGAAGTACATTTCTATTGTTCATAAGCTACCCCATTTATGATATTTTGTTATAGCAGCTCATACAGACTAAGACAAATTTTCACAAGACGAGCCTTCAAGACATTTTGAATATGTAAAGGTCTGCTATAGCTTGACTCCCTTAGGTATATTAGTTGAGTAAATGCTTCAACAGCCAAACAGATTTCTTGTCTTGGCAGAGTGGTTGATTGATGTGACCTCTGATAAGTCATATAAGTTTTCATGCATTAGTCAAATTGGTTATAGCTTTTAACTCAATTGAGGAATTATTAGAAAATTAGAATTACAGAGATGAATACTATATTACTTTAAATCATTTGTACAGTATAGACGTGTAAACATCACTGTAAGGGTGTTTATTCCAAGTTTCAGGATCTACCTCAGAGGAAAAGAAGAGAGGGGTTGGAAGCAGAAACATCATGACCTACTGCAAAAACATAACTGTGATTTATATGTGCTTACATAGCTTTGTCCTTTACCATACCTTAGTTCTCAGGGTTATCCTTTAAAACAGGGAAGAAATGCGTTTTTATTACTGGGTGATTTAACCAGTGGCCAAGATTATGACTTATAACCTTGGATTTTAAGACTGTCTATGAGCATAATTTGAAGATGAAATTTAACAGGGTTCTTCTATAGTCTTAAAAGAAGAATTCAATAAGGAAAGGGTTCTTTTATCTAGTAGTGGTTTATAAAACAGTTCCCGGGCATGACATCACCGTGCAATGTACTTGGTTTGGATTACTCCTCACTATCTATCAGTACAACTACTGCAAACAAAAGATGCCCTTTGATATTATAATGGGTCTCTGATGGGCATTACAGGAAATGTGCAAAAATAAAACCCCCAATATTCTTCCTTTTTAAAAATACAATATTACTTCCTTTTTCTCCTCATTCACGTTTCTTTTGCACTTACTTGAATGGGAATGATAAGTGAAAATTCTGTATGGAATCATGCATTCATCAAACACAGTTATCTTCTGAATTTTCCTTGCTTGGTTATTACATTGTTTTGGAAAACTTTGACATAAATATATTAAGAGAAAATTGCATGAAAGGTAGGTCTATTGTAAGGTACTCACTTTTAATTAAAATATATCTAATCGTTTTTCAAGTATGGGCTTTTCATATCTAATTATACAAAGACTTATGGCAGAGAAGAGGTAGCTGATTTTCTTTCTCTTATATTCCCTCCCGACTTACAGTATATTTTTCAGTATTTTGTGTTGGATGCCTCTTTTTAAAACCCTATACTCAAACAATTATATGCTGAAAAGCAACTTTAAGATTATTATAAGGTGATTATACTAATGGATCTAACTTTCCTTGCCTTTCTAATTCATGCTCATTGGTAGTGTCCTCCTTATTCTAAGTTGGCTGTGTGATTAGAACAAAGGGATTTTAGCAGAACTGATGCAAGCAGAAGCCTGAAATGTGTTTCTGCATTTTTGCTTTGTTTTGTAGACTCCTGCCACCACCTTGAGAAGACGCTGTCTCCAGCTTGCAGGTGAAATATAAAAGAAGTCCAATGAAAGTGAGCTGAGTGTCCCCAGTGATGCCATCAAGATGAACTAACTACAGTTAAACAGCCAGCTGACAGCAGATACATGAGTGAGCCCATCTGAGAGCAGGTGAGCATGGCCCAGGGCAGCAGAACTGCTGAGCCAGTCCCTTAGTTGAAACAGAATCATAAGTGGTTATATTCAGCCATTAAGCTTAAGAATGATTTGTTATACAGCAATAGTATATCGATACAGGATCATTCGTTCCAGAATTCCCATATTAGAGATAAGAAAACTGAGGCTGGGGATCTGCATTTTTCCCAACTTAAAAGAGCTACTAAATTCCCCAAATTTTAGAGTTGACAGCTCTACTTATAAGCTATATAAAAGCCAGAGCACCTAATTATTGACAAACTTCTCAATCCTTACCAGCTAGCTCCAGATGATAATGTATAAACTGTTTCCTGGAATTATTTTGATTAGTGTTACACTTAAGGTTAAAGATTTTGTTAAGCCCAAGCATTACAGAAATTGTCATGCATGTGAAATTATTCTCTTGTGCCTTGAAAAAGCTTTGTCTGGTGTGCTGAGTTTGTAGTTACATTTGATGCTTAATGGGGTTAGCCCTGTGAAGCATATTGCAAGTGTCCTCTAGAAACTGGACTGGTTTCCAATTGATTTCAAGTTGCAATTCAAATTGTTGTTTTTCACAAATAGCAACTACATTGTGTCAATTGATGACCTCTCAAAAACTACTGGAAATAAAATCTTAAACTTTGAAACTACAGTAGAGTTTACTCTGTAATATATGTGAGACCAGCAGTCATGAATTAGGAGGGTTTCCTTTCAATTATGAGTCAAGCTTCAGGATCCAACATATAGAGTTTTTTACTGAATTATAGCTTATGGCATTGTATTTGGATTGAGAAATGTAGTGATTCAGAATGGTTTTCTCTTCTAATAGTTTGCTATTTAGTGGGATTTTTTTTATTAAGCAGACATCTCATTTTCTTTAGAATACTTTAATATCCTAGTACAGTAGATTTTTAGTAATCTAAAAGTTTGAGGCTTTTTTTAAATTTTGGTACCGGAGATAAACAATAATTAACACTCCTTAAATGTATTTTTCTTTCTTCTGATGATGACTTGCCTTTGAGGACCAGGTTCAAAACATATAGCACTGGAATTGATTCACTTTGATTTTCATTTATTTATTAAGTGTTTGCCTTTGTGCAAGTTTTGCAGTGTCATCAGTTGGCTACAGTAAATCTATATGTGCTCTGAAGAAAGTTGATTTCTTTAGTCTTCCTCTCCCAGACTGTTATTTTTCCTGTGTGCTAAGCTTTAAAGGACTTAAAGGGATAAAATGTAAAGAAGTTGTTTTGAGCCGAAAAGATATGCCTAAAAATTTAAAGACCTATGTTCTTCTGTTACCCAAATTCAAAAGAACCAATATGGGTATCATTGTAATTATTACATTATTCTTAGTCATAAGTTATTGAGTCATCCCATGAGACAGCAATTCATCTTAATATAGTCTCCATCTAATAACAATCTTCAAGTCTTTAGTTCAAATCACATTTCCTTCCTGCTTATAGACCTTTCTCCTCAAATTTTGGTATTCATTAGGAGGAAGAGACCAAAGACATAGAATTCTTTATTAAGAAAGTTATAAACTTCCTTTAGGTGTAACTCACCTGACATAAAGGATGGGTTTCTGTAAACTAAGGTAGAAATTAGATTTTGTGCGTGTAAATGAAGAAATCTGTAGACACATTTTGGGGACATATTAATGTGTATATTCAAGAGCAACTCCTTTTAAAAATAAATATCTCTTACAAAATTTTATTCTTAAAAATTAAAAAAATGGAATCTACATTTTTTAAAATTGTACTTTAAGCTCTGGGGTACATTTGCACATCCCACAGGGTTGTTGCATAGGTACATACAAGCCATGGTGGTTTGCAGTCTCTGTCCCCCTGTCACCTACATCAGGCATTTCTCCCAGTGTTTTCCCTCCCCAGCCTCCCCACCCCCTGCTGTCACTCCCCTAGCCCCCCACACCCCTAACCTATCCCAGTGTGTGATGTTCCCTTCCCTGTGCCCATGTGTTCTCATTGTTCAACACCTGCCTATGAGTGAAAACATGCAGTGTTTGGTTTTCTGTTCCTGTTTTTATTATTTCTAAAACCATTTACTCCAACATTTTAATTTTCCTTTTTCTCACTATTCTTGAACCTATTAAAAGAGGAAAAAGCAAACATGTTGGAACAACATAAAAAACAAAGAAAAACAAAAAATCCCAAAGAAACAAAATGTCTAGTGTCTTAATTATATGCTGCTATGTAATAAATTACCCCAAACTAAACTTCTTAAAACAGTGCATTTAGTATTTCACAGTTTCTGTGGGCTGGGAATGTAGGCAAAACTTAATTGGATTTTCTGCTTAGGATCTTCCACAGGCTACAATCATGGTGACATCTGGGGCTGTGATCTAATTTCAAGGATCAACTATGGAAAGATCCACTTCCAAGACCATTCATTTGATCTCTGGCATAATTCACTTCCTTGTAGGCTCTTGATCGGAAGGCCTCAGTTTTCTGCTGACTGTAGGCCAGAGGCTAACCTCCATTTCTTGCCACCTGGCCACTTCTACATAGCAGCCTGCTTCATCAAAACCAGCGAGCGGGCGAGAGAGAGAATCTGCAAGCAAGTGGGAAGTCAGTCTATTGCAACTTGAGGACTGAAATGACATCCCATCGCTTTTGCTATATTCAATTTATTAGAAACAAGTCATTAAGCCCAGGACATACTCAAGGGAAAGATATCACACAAGGGTGTGAGATTATATAGGAGGAAGGGATCAATGGAGCCTGTCTTAGGAGTCCACGTATCATAAATAGAGTGGTTCAGTTGTTACTGTCTTAATATTGTCTCCCTTTTATGGAAATATTTTAAAATATTTTTCTTATCTGTCACATTTTGTTACATATACTATATAATTACAGCCAAATGTAAGTATTGTAAGGTACACATACAAACGCATTACAAAAAATTTGCATGACGTGGTTAAGCATCCCCTCTAGAGTACTGTAGCAGGGCTGGTATCCGGCTGTGTTGGGGAGCTCTTTTAAGGTTTGCTTTACCTGTGCTTTGCTCTCATCTATGAAAAGAAAAAGAGGTTTATGTCATTCTGCTGTTCTCCAGTATGGATCAAATATGATACAGAAAGCAATAAAACTGAGAAATAAAAAGATGCAAAGCTCAGCATGATTTGTAGTTGCAACTGGTATTTCACACCAAATTGGAGAAACAAACTTTTAAAATTTATTGACTGTGTGTAGCATTGCAATAACTAGAGCTGTGGAAAGAGTTAATATTCTTTGCATGACATCTAAGTGTGAAGAATTTCAGAGATTGAGAATTCTCTGTAGTTAACAATATAGGCTCTGATAACATAAGGAGCAGGTCATTTCAACATACACTGGCACAGAAGAGCATATCTGGAACTGTGAAAGAGGGGAATCTAGACCCATCAGAAAAGAAACATTTCTTTCCAGCTTTTCTGACAAGATTTTCATTAACTCCCTAGTATGAGGCTAAGGTAGACATTGAAATGCTAAATTCAGTGCTCATTAAAATCTACTTCTTCTTTCCCTCCAGGCTTATAGGAGGTTACATTTGTCAACTCTCTGCAGTTTGCAAGATCATATGACTTTCTGGTCAATGGATAATGAAGAGAAGTGACATGTGTTACTATCTAGACCAAAGTATAGATGAATGAGTGTGAGCTGTGTATATCCTTTCTTCCTTTTGCTATGGTGACCAGTGATTTTTAAAATGGTAGAATATATGTCTACCTGAGTTCTTGATTGACTATATAAGGAAAAGCCCCTGCCACTGATCAGTGATGGACATGTGGTATGTCTAATGTGGTAACTCTTTTTTATGTTAAGGACCTTTATCTTAGTTTCCTATTGTTACTATAACAAATTACCATGAACTAAATGGCTGAAAACAAAGCAAATTTATTATATTATAGTTGTGGGATTGAGAAGTTCTAAAATCAAGATGTTGTCAAAGCTGTATAGAGATACTAGATGCTCTTGAGGAGAATCTATTTCCTTGTGTTTTGCAACTTCTGCAGGACACCAGCATTCCTTGGCTTCTGGCCTCTTCCTTCTCTTCAAAGCTAACAGTATTACATCTTCAAATCTATGTTTTCCTCTCCTTGTCTCCCTGTTTGCTGCTTCTAATTTCACATTTTCTTCTCTCACTCTGGCCTTCTTGCCTCCATCTTATAAGGACCCGTGTGATTACTTGGATCCACCCAAATAATCCAGTATAGTTCCACATCCCAACATACTTAACTGAATCTGCAAAGCCCCTCTTGATAAACAAGGTAACATAGTCACAGGTTCTTGAGATTAGGATATGGACACTATTGGAGACTATGTTAGTCCATTATGCATTGCTATAAAGGAATACTTGAGACTGGGTAATTTATAAAGAAAAGAGGTTTATTTGGCTCATGATTCTGCAGGGTTGTGCAAGCATGGCATCTGCATCTGTTTGGCTTCTAGTGAGTCCTCAGGAAGCTTACAATCATGGCAGAAGGCAGAGAGGGAGCCAGCACATCCCATGGCCAAATAGGGAGTGATAGAGAAATGAAGGAGATGCTAACCTCCTTTAAACAACCAGATCTTGTGTGAACTCATAGAGAACTCACTCACTACCATGAAGATAGCACTAAGCCATTCTTGAGGTATCCACTCCCATGACCCAAACATCTCCCATTATTTCCACCTCCAATACTGGAGGTCAAATTTCAACATGAGATTTGGAGGGGACAAACATTCACATCATATCAGAGACCATTATTTAACCTACCATTTTCTTGGAATTAGGGGTTTATGTGTTACCGCAGCATAGTTTAATGTATGCTGAGGCATATGAAAGCCGCAGTAAGTTAATACCAAAACCTCACTAGACATTAACTGTAGAAGTATGCCCAAATTAGCTATTTAGCAGACATAATCAGTCTCAACTTTTCTTTGTCTTCATGAGGTTGCAAATGATAGAACTTGCTTATGAAAGTTATGTACAAAATGCACAAAAGTAAAAGAATT